TCTTTCCCCTCTAACCAACCGATCTACAACCACTATTAATGCAAACAGCATGTTACTGGAAGTACAGTTTCTTCCGCTGTCAGAGCAGGAAGGTGTTGGAAACAAAATAATGGGGCACATTACAGGATTTCAGAATAGTGAGTGAGTCTGGTAGATGCTTCTGTGTAATGGGATGTGAATACTCAGCCAACACAACACTAGAGCACACAAGGGCACGAGTTTAAGAGATGCCAAAGTCTTCCAGTTCTCAGCTGCACATTTTAATCCAGTGCAAGCTTGTGTTGACTGAAGCCTGCTCCATGCCTTGTTCATATGCATGGATTGCTTTTTATCCCATCCGGCCTGGAACACCAATAAGGTAAAAAGGCATACTTAATAAATTACATCTTTTGAACCTACAGAAACAAAACAAAACTCCTCTGTGCTCACATCTGCCTGTGTAACCAAGCTTACTAACTTTAAAAGCCCAATGGTCCATTTCTACGGAATTTGGCAGCAGAGAAGCAGTTCCAAGGGTATCAGTGCAATGGAAATAAGCAAATGGATAAAAACATGAAGTCCTATTACTAGGGATTCTCTGAGGAAAAAAATGAAAAATTAACTCCAATTTCTTTTAAACATTTGTGAATCCATGTAGGGATTCCATACCACTGTAAGACCCCAAGGAATTCAACAGGGAAAGCCAACACTACAGGACATAAAGCTTTATTAATTCCACCGCTTGCAGTCTGCTTCTTTCCAAGCCCACATTTAGGTATCCCACAAACCCCCTATTCCAGCACATACGGAGATAGGCCTAGATTTATAGGTGAAAAGCCAGATATGTTAATGCAGAACCTAGGTCCCACCTCCTCCGTGACAAAAATGGACAGAGAGGAGGAAAACTGATTTGCAGCACGGAACAGACTACAGCACTGCACATGCAGGCAATTTATACTGGGATATCCTGTAATTAAATGGACACCTTTTCATACTCATTTTTGAACAGCCAAAAAATCATTACCCCAGGCAGTGAAGTTGGTGCTGGCAGGAAAGCAGGAGTTATTGCATGAACAAAACTAAAGCCAACAAACCATTTAGCAGACTGCAAACAGAAAACATCATTTAATAAAAGTGAAGAAGAAAACAGTAGCAGTAATAATTAATTGCACAGCAGCAGTACCTACAAGCATGGTTAATGGACAAGAACCCAGAGGGGACTATCTTTTCCCAAGGCCCACTAGCTGCTGAAATGATCCTATTCAACACATGCAAGATGTGAACTTTACACTGGCTGAAAACGAGGGAAGAGAAAGACAACTTTGCAAAAAATCAATCCGTGCCTAACTGAGCTGGTGCCCGATTCCCACAGACATAAATACTTCCAGAAGCATCCCACATTAGGCTTCCTGCTCAGTTCAGTGTTAGAGGCATGGAGAGTCAATTCTGACCTGAGGTCTGAAAAGTTTCTCACAGCCCCAGAATGTGACAAGGCCCCTAAAGCTAATGGTTGCCGCCTAGCATTGAAATAAGAAAGCTGACTTAATAAATTGTAATCCTGAAGACTGAAAAACCGAATGCTTGGTGCACAGATTGGCTTTCCTCTGGCATGGCCTGTGGAGAGACAAGACTGCTGTGATTTTAGTTGTTAGCACCTGATGCAAACAACTCCAAAAATACTGTCCCTGCTTCTTTGCCCAGAAACCTTCCACCTCCAAAAGGCTGCTGGGCATCAGCTAGCCAGGTGCAGCAGTATCTTTAGAGCACGGTGATAGCTAACCCTCAGGCATTACAGATGCTCCCCTTGCCCACAACTTCCCTTTTGTCTGCACAGGACTAAGCCAGCCTGAAGACTAAGTGGACTTCATCCACATCACTGCAGTTTCCAGCTGTCTGTAACCTGCCAAGTTACTGATCCACTTCAGGAAGCCTGGGTGTTACCTGAAATGACAGATGCCTCTTGAGTCTGCCCAGGTGTCTTCTTGTGCCCCTGTCTCCTTCCATGCTTCTGGGCTGAGATAGCACAAAGGCAAGCCATCATTTTCACGAGAACCACCAACATGTGTGAAAGTTAAGGTTCAGAGAAAGGACTTCCCCTTGGAAAAAAAAAACCTGTGGAATGAAGGAATATGGAATGACACACAGATACTGGATAGACCTCATACAAGCTCATACTCTCCCACAGACCCTGTACAGTCTCTGAAAACATGCTCGACACTGAGGTCTGTCAAGGAAAGTTTTCAAATCCCTCCTGTGTAACAGTAAGTGCAGACAGCTAAGCCAAACACATGAATAAATCAGCAAGAGCAGAGCTGCTCAGCCAACACAGTGCCCCTCAGGCTGGTACCACTAAGATCCAGAGATCTGGTCTCCGCTTCCCCTGCAAAACCAGACAGCAGCAGGAACCAACTGAAAAGATGAGAAGGCTGGAAAGCAGCTGTGCAGCTAGGGCCTTCATCAAAGCTGTGTGAGATCCAGGCTAAGTCCTGGGTTAGCTTTTCAGATTTTCCTCCAACCCTAAGTTTTGAAACTGCAAAGATGCTATGTGAGGCAGATTCTGCCAAAGCTATGTCCCTACAGAAAGAGCTTCAGCTGTGACAAACTGAGATCCTGTAAAAATGAAGTCAATACAGCCCTACATCCAGTTAATCAAAAAAGTCCCGTATAGCTCTATTTTCAAATGGACCATGCAAAACCACACACTGCCTCAGGAAATCATCTTGTGCGAGGGAAGAAAACCGTCTCTGGGTCTTTGAAAGGCAGCTCCTATGTTCTGATAGCAATTCCATTAAAAGCACTGCAATGACTGATCACAGTCAGGACCAGACGTTTCAGGTATAATAAACAGGACAGTGACCATCTGAACATGCCTCCAGATCCAAAACACAGGTACAGTGCGAAAGCAAGAGGCTGGTTAATGAACAGACGAAAAGCATGCACAGGCCTTCCTGGCTTCTATCATGAGAAACTGCAGTCATCTAACATAGCAGTGGCTATCCTTGCATCACAAACCAGGAGAGCAAATGAGCGTAGTAGTTGCTTGCTGTGATCCCCGAAGACATTGCTCCCCACTGCCCCTTATTTCTCAAATGCCAGCTGCCTCTGCGGAGCCCTAAGAGATTGCTTGGATGCTCACTGTTCCGTGGCTAAATCCAATCCTCCTGCATTGAGGAGTTCAGAGGACTCGGGGAGGACACACCAAAGAAAAAAGTGTTCTGTTTCCTCATTACAAATCAAATAGCGTGACTGACATCAAAAGACAAACACACAGATGTAGCAAGCAGAGCATGGAGTAAGGCAGGGGGAAGAGCCTGGCTGCTGTGAAACAGGAAAAAAATAATCATGCCAGGGCAAAAATAGCAGAGAAAGCTCATGCAGTGGGGCAAGATACTTTGTCTCTTCAGTTAGGGCATGCTTTCCTCCTTCCCATGCTCTCTAGGGCTACCTGATCATTTTATATTGTTTGCAAAGATGGATTCCAGCTGCTACAGAGTGCTATGGTACATTTCTCCAGCAGTGAAAAAATCACTGGACTTGTCCTCTCTACTCTGCACTGACTGACTTCCAAAGGACAGCCAATGCCATTCCACAGTGTCATCCTCATCTGAAGGCACTCGAATCTGAGCTCAAATTGTCTAGGACAATCAACAACAGCTCTGGGGTAAAGATACTGGACGACAGCTTTGCTCCTCTGGCATGAACAGAGCTCTCAAGAACAAGGGCAACTGTCACCTGTGTAGGGCTGGTCTGAGGCTGTGAAACATGACCTCTCCAGGAGCATCACAGAGCTCTGAGTGCAAAGCACATGTCCCTAACCATGTGTGGCTGTGTGTGCACACGTGTATGCATATGTTAGAGACCCCAGTCACACAATTTATACATTATGTATGTGTACACAATCAAAATTATAATGTGCAAATACCTGTGTAACTTCTGTTCAACTACACAGCTGCAGAATCCAACAGCACATAATTTTCATCTATGCCAGCCCATTTCAACCACTGCATGGATACATGTGTATGTATTTATGCACGTGACTATACCAATTCCAGGGCAAACCCCTGCACTGCACACACCCATCCCACTGCACTGCACACTCTCATTGGGGAAAGAATGTAACAGCACACAAGTAGGAGATGCTGGTCACATTACTCTGCCTTCTCCTGGAAAAAACTCATACTCTGCCATGGGGGAGACAGCATAAGAACTGCATAGGTCAGAATCTCTTTTCTCCTCACCTGTCTCCCCAGACCTATTAGCCTGGCTCTCAAAAATTGAACTAGCTCACAAAGCTACTGTCTCGCTCCCACCCACATCCTTGGTAGCTGCAGCATGTCTGCTGGGCTGACTCCAAGCCTGTGACTTCACTGGAGCAGCTGTTTGTGCTGGAAAGAGAATTTGGTTACAATTCAGATATAGCTAGAGCCAAAGCTACGAAATATAGTGCTGTCTTCTCTCCAAGCAAAGATGCTATGCACATTACAGGCACAGCCAACACACTTTCCTTGGGTAAGCCTGCCTCCAAACAGCTAAGAGGAACAAAGGGGATGGGTGAATAACACACGTCTAACATGTATCTGTTGTCCAATATGAAGTCTCAAAGAAGGCAAAGCAGACTGGG